AATGGACAAAATGACTGGTATTTCTGCCCAACCTTATTCAGCTATCAAAGGTCATTTTGTGCCCGTGTGCTGTCGTCTTCCCTGTAAATGAAGATTTGGCCTTGAGCGCAGGATATTTCAGAGGTCATCATGTTTCCTCGACCTTTCTCAAAAGACAAATAAGGAGAAAGGTGTCCTTTTTAATAGGAATCTTTCAATGCCTGACAGCGAATGATGGGCAGGCAAACTTCTTTTTTTGAAGGCATAATAGTTTATACTTGTTTCTTCCTGGACTGATGGCAAGTCTTGGCACGAAGAGTTCAAAAGGATGCCTAACTCCTACGTGGAATTCCATTTCGCCATGCATCCCATAAGACCCTTCTCACTCAGGCTGGAGTCGAGTTTCCTCCTGGCCCCATTGTCTCACCCGCGGCCATGACGGGATTCGAACTCTGTGCCTCGAAAGCCTCAATAACTGTCCAAAATAAAGCCACTTAGAACAAGCATATCTCCACAACAATCAGCCTATCGATAGCCTAGAAACAAGAACTGCCACCAACTATTTTGTGGAAGTTCATAATTTGGGAATTACGAATATTTATTGAACATACTTACTGAATGCTGCTATTTTTAGTTTCAAACTAAGTCCTAGTTACGGATGTCTAAGCTGGCTCTTTTGGGCATATTCTATTGACTAAAATCTAAAAAATAGAAAATGCCTTAAATACAGACTTAGTTACTCTTGAGGCTCCACGGCTAATTCAGAACGGATAGTTGAGTTTTCTCACTCATCTCATCGTGAGGAAAACTTGGCTATCGGAACTCAAATCACTTTAGCGAGCTATACAGACATAGTTCTTATCCATGAGTTAGCGATAGCCTCAAAAGCTACTCAAATGGAAGTGCTTTGAATGATTTTTAATGAGTACACCTTTGAGATTAGGCCTCATACAAATTATGTCCTGTAACCAATTGGGTGTGGCCCAATGCCGATGAATTTCGACTCATTACACACAACCCAGTTTTTAATCTCATCTGGAAAGCTGCCGAAAATGAAGTCCATTCCGCATGTAGGACAAGGCCATATGAATGCTTTCTGCTTAGTAACTTACTTATAACGACTTACCAACAAATATATCTTTCAATCGGTCATTCTGAAACCTTTCAAATAAACCTTCAATTCAATGCTTGGAGTATTTTTTCAATTAGTGTACATCAGAACGACAGACTAATATTTAGGTTCTCATTGACAACTAACCTAATCCTCGAAACTAGTGACTCGTTAAGTCGAAAATGACCGACTTCTTAATACAACATTAATGTTGACGCATTTTATAGTTTTCCGAATATTTCACATAGTACTTACCTTCTATGTATTGGAGAGGCTTTAAGTCATCTGGATCGAAGGGCAGGCTAAATTCCCTTGATTTAAATATATTACTATAATACTACTATATAACTTGTATTAACATTGACTTATATTTCCCATGAGTTGCGAGTGTAGATCTAGAATTCCATTTTTCTTTCAAACGCTTAACAAATAATTGGATTAATTTGCATTAGAAGCTATGGAATCACTGGCCTGCAATGAGGCACCTTTTGACCCTCTTCGTCTAGGCTTCGCGTTATTCATTAACTCGGAAAAATTATTCAGCAGAAAGACAAGCATATACTTGAATAATAATTTTTTAACTTCCAGAGGAGCTCTTATGCCATGCACTTTTGCTTTCTTTCTACACCCGCAACGGTATTGAGATTTAGGCAACCCTCCGGCGACCAGACACATGTTATGAGGCCTAAGCACTCGGATTTATTTAATCGGTTCAGCCCAGAATTCATAAATTATTTGTTTTTTCAGGGAAACGTGAGGGAAACTGATCCCGCACTGAATCCTATGACACTGTCGTCATGTGTATCGCCCGCATCGAACCGTTGATTAGCAACATTTTTGCACGTTTCGCTGAAATTGTGGTCGACATGGCAAGTGTGATTCCCCAACCTCTTCGTTGAGCTACATGTCGTTAAAGATACATGAATGCCAATTACTTGATCAAGGCTCGCATTGACCAGTTGTGATACCGACTAAACAACTGGGACTCTACCTGGTTAATTATTTGATGCTGGAGAGATGCATAACAAGAATGCTAGAAGATTCGAGGTCTTTCTGACATCAGCACAACAATTTAAATAAAATTAGCCTAAACCAACTCAATAGGGTGAGCAAAACCCAAGATCACATGGTTTTTGCCTCCTTAGCCCTGTTTCACAAGGGATCAACAGATAATTTGGAAACGTGAACCTTCAACTACGACGGATTGCTCAGTATAGTACAAAAGGAACATGAGTAAAACGTAATCAACTAACAAGCGCCAAGATAAAGCCTACAACTTATAAAGTAATCACATGAAATCATGATAAACACCAAAACGAAAAATAAAGGGTTCCAGAACATGGAAGGGATACTTTTCTGCTTGAGAGGTTGGAGTCACCTTTCGACTTCTTTGGAGCTTGTTATGGTGACTTTTCATAACCAAATTTTAGGGCAGTTTGACTAGTCAGAGCTCCGTTCTCCAGACACTTTATGTCACTCGGAGAGTTCATTGTCGAGTCTCCAAAAAGTGAATATGAAGTTAGTCATTTTATATAGCTTAAGAAGTGACCTTAGCTCAAATTAGAATGACGGAGATTTTATTCAATAAATTTATGATAATTTACAAGAATTATCTTATTTATTACAAGAGAGAGTATAGTTAACAATGAGACTTCATAAAGCTGAGAAATAAATCTTTCTACTAACAACGAAATCAGTAGCATATACGGTTTAATACAACGTGTTGTCTATCGATACATAGTTGTGAATTGAACGAGATTCTCTATGCATTAAAATTTAATTCTTGTCATGCACGACAGAGTAGCCGAGATCGAGAGTGTCTATAAATCCTACCGTTTGCAGTTCGAATCTAGTTGGGTTGCTGATAAACAGAGGCCGAAACTGTCATTCATCCGGGAAATAGGTGGCCTGCTTGGTATTAATTGTAGTGCTCAAATGAAAACTGCCAAAACTGGCACATCTCGAAAAGTGATGCGCATAATTGAAGCCAGTACTTTTGTGATAAACTCGAGATTATTCGAGATCTTGAAAGACTTTCCGCTTCGAAGGCAGAGTTGGGCGAAGGGAACTCGCAAATGAGTCGTCCCGGAAACGGGATAAGGATTGAATTTGAATTGTGACTTGAGCAATGTGTAAGGTTTCTCAGCCCACCATCTGTGTTGATTCATCGTCTGTCCCATCATGAATGACCTTCTCAAATTTAAAACCCCTTTTTAACCTACCTGCCCCAAACGTCAAGCCGGGAATTGTGTTCGTTGGGTTTCCACTAATGATCACTTCTGATACATTTTCTTGTCTTTTCTCACTACATCTGCTTCAGCACTCGTCAACAATTATCCCGGTCATGTCATGTCGCCCATAATGGAGAGGAAGATGGTTTGGAATCATTCGCATAACATTCTACACTCCACATGACCTCTCAAGGCAGGACGGTAAATGCACCCTCTGGAGGCAAATGTAGCACTAATCTTTAAGACAATCTGTTCACAAAGTGGCTTTTGATGGACAAATTTGTCTGTGAAAGCCTCAGTTAGAGTGCAAATATTAACGATGAGGTTATGTTTATGAGGCAGGCACTCAGCTGTGATTTGTGGGTGTATACCAATGAATAGACTGATGCCTATGCCAAATTGGAGAGAAATGCAAATTTGACACTAAAATCAACTTACACTTCAGAACGCGATTACTTTCAGGATTAGTGCAAGTCTGCTGACAAGACAGGCCATTTATTGTCTTTGGCAGGCTGCAGTGATAGTAGCAATGCCTGAGATAAAATGAGGCTATCGAAGGATTCCACTGCTAAACTAACCTAAAGCACGCATAATTCATCTCAGCCTCCAGGCAACTTGATCGAGATTCTAATAATAGTTGGCCACATAAGCCTGAAACTAATTTGCCTTTTGAACTCCATCCCCGGCGATTGCGAGTAAA